CTCCACAACACAAAAACCCAGGCCATATTAAAGTGTCCAGGCAAGTGAGCTTCTATTTTTTTTTTTATTTCCTCTAAAAAACAAAAACAAACAAACAAACAAACGGGATACACATGCAGAACGTGCAGGTTTGTTATACAGGTGTATGTGTGTCATGGTGGTTTGCTGAACCCACTGACCTGTCCTCTAAGTTCCCTCCCCTCACCCCCCTACCCCTCAACAGGCCCTGGTGTGGGTTGTTCCCCTCTCTGTGTCCACATGTTCTCACTGTTCAACTCCCACTTATCAGTGAGAACATGTGGTATTTGGTGGTCTGTTCCTGTGTTCGTTTGCTGAGGATGATGGCTTCCAGCTTCATCCATGTCCCTGCAAATGACATGATCTCATTCCCTTTTATGGCTGCATAGTATTCCATGGTGTATATGTGCCACCTTTGCTTTATCCAGTCTATCATTGATGGGCATTTGGGCTGTTTCCATGTCTTTGCTATCGTAAACAGTGCTGCAATAAACGTACATGTGCACGAGTCTTTATAGCAGAATGATTTATATTTCAAAACCCTACTTTTACGAAAAAAAGCCTAATCTCTAGGCCGCTCTATGTCACTGGGAGGGTGACAGGATCCCCCAGAAGCAGAGGCTATAGGTAAATTTCTCCTCTCGTCTCCCCATCAACTCCTACAATCCTCCCCTTCCTGCCCCCATGCACCCCAGGATGAAGGTGGGGGACAGAGTGCAAAAGCAAGAGCAGTGCAGGTCAGTGTTTCTGAGCCCCTGGGTGACCGCCCGCCTGGGAAGTACTGGGATACTCCACTCTGAAGCAGCTTCGGGAAATTTCGGTTAGGCAGAATCCCCAAAGAGTGATGGGGAAGATGGGTCTCCCCGGGACTGGGCATGAGCTTAAAGCAGGCAAGGGAGAGTGATGTGAGGGGAAGTAGGGGGGCATTTGGATTCCAGCCTGCGCACTTTCATGAGCCCTGTGATCTGGGCAAAGCCACTTCCTTCCTCTAAGTCCCTGTAATAATCAGAAATGGCAGAACCCCAATCAAAGCCGCTGAAGCCTGAAAGGGAGGAAGTGTTTAACTGAGAAGCCTGGGGGTGCATCAGCTTCACACACGCTGGATCCAGGGATGCAGATAATGCCATAGGGAAATCAACCCTCAAAATGTCTTTGCTCAGCTTTCCTTTGGGCTGGTTCCAGTCTCAGGCAGGCTCCACCTGGGTTGGAGAAAATGGCTACCAGCACTCCAAGCCCACATCCGACCAGCTCTGTGACTTCTTGTGGAGGGAAAACAACTCGTTCCAAAAGCTTCAACTGAAGTCCTAGAACAGATCCTCATTTATGAAGCCTGAGTCATGAGCCCACCTAAGAACCAATTTCCAGGGGCAGAGACCGTGGAGGATGATGGTCAATTCCACGTGGATACAGATGGAGGAGGTGCGCCTTCTCCCAGCCAGATGCAAGGGGCCTGAGGGACAGGAGTAGACTACCAGGACCTCCCCTGGCTTTGCTGTTCAACCCCAGCACATCCCAGGATGTGACCATCTCGGGAACCCGGATCGGTGGTAGAACAGAGTCAGCACTGCCCATGGCTCATCATGGCCTATGAAGGGCATGTGGTAGCATTAGATGAGAGGCCACCAGCCACAGCCCAGATGATACAGTTCCCGTACATCCCACACACCGCAGGGTGAGGACGATGGGGAAGCAGGTTCAGAAGCAGGGACACTCCAGGTCAGTGTTTGCTCAGGCCCTGGCAACCTCCCTCCTGGGAAAGGACAGAGGCTACCACAGGCTGGGACCAGAGGCCACTCCACAGGGGCTTCTGGGAACACAGACCTCAGCCCTGAGGACCACAGGCATTCCCGTTCATACAGCCAGAGCCCCAAGCCTCAGCCCAATCATCCATGCCAGCCTGGGGTGACGTTTCCCAAGTCCCTTCAAAAATGAGGACGACACAGTGAGGCATTTTGGGGGCTGGCTCTGTGTCCTTGTAAAGACTGTCCTCTGTTGGAGTATAAGGCCTTCCTGACGCTTTGGATGTGAAATTCAATTTCTTTTAGGAAATACTGGTGATAACAGTGTTATTATTATACTATTGCAAAACCAAGGATGTTGGGGTTTTTCTTCATTGTTGTTTTTAAACAACGCTAGTTGACCAAAATATAAAAGTTGGCAACTCCTGCCCACCCCTTCTGCCTCTGTCAAGCCCCCTATAAACTGCACCAAGACAAAGTCCTACCTCTCTCCTCCCTCCATAACTACCCAAAAACTGTCACTGCAAACAAACCTCCCTCCTATGTCCCTGCAGAAAGGCAGGTACTAAGTGTCTGCTGTTGCTGAGGGCTAGGGGAGAGAAGAGTGGGGCATCTGAGCAGCAGCATCCCCCAGAAGTTCATTAAAAATGCACAGTCTCAGGCCCACTCAATGGATCAGAATCCACATTTTAACCAGATTCCCAGTGACGTGTATGCACACAGAAGTTTCAGAGGCGCCAGACCAGACTTTATCCAAGGACCTCGTCTTGATCATTATGGCAACTGAGGGCCCCTAAGATGGGCATCTGCCCCTGACTTTTAGCCCCTGGGCATTCTCCCCTGAGCATGGCTTCTCTCCCAGTATGGGAGGTCTACACCTCTTTCAGCCCTGCTAAACCCACACTTCGACTTCCATTCCATGATGACAGCTAACAGTCATGAAGCTGGTTCCACATGCCAGCATCCCTGGTGGTGGTCACTTCAACTCCAGAAGCCTCACAGACCCATCCCTTCTTCATGAACGTTTTACCAAATCCCTCCAACCACCCCTGTCTACCCTGCATATGTAACTTTCCTCCTCGAATCCCCTAGAACACCGAGAACCCTAGAGCTTCCTTGATAAGCCTAAGGACCCTCTGCCCCTGAGTCAACATTTCTCATGCCTCCCTCCCCACTTCGACAGTACAAGCTCCTTGAGGGTGGCCGTGACTGGACCCCGCCTCTGTGCAAGGACCCCCACCCCAGGGGCACTTCCTCTAGATGGTGCTGGGTAACCGCCCACCCCAGGGGCACTTCCTCTAGATGGTGCTGGGTAACCGCCCACCCCAGGGGCACTTCCTCTAGATGGTGCTGGGTAACCGCCCACCCCACGGGCACTTCCTCTAGATGGTGCTGGGTAACTGCACCACCCGGTGTCTCCCCAACTTCACTCTCGTGTCACCACTCTCACCACTCTTATGGATGTTGCTCTAATAGAACCACTTGGTTGAAAATGAATATAAAGTTTTCTTAAGAAAGTTTAAAATGAAAACTTGACATCTACTTTAATGGAAATGCAAAATTTTTCTAATGAAAAATGGAACAGGCTGGGCATGGTGGCTTAAGCCTGTAATCCCAGCACTTTGGGAGGCCTAGGCGGGCAGATCACCCTAGGTTAGGAGTTTAAGATCAGCCTAGCCAACCCCATCTCTACTAAAAATACAAAAATTAGCCAGGTGTGGTGGTGGGCACCTGTCATCCCAGCTACTCGGGAGGCTGAGGCAGGAGAATCGCTTGAACCTGGGAGGCAGAGATTGCAGTGAGCCAAGACCACACCACTGCACTCCAGCCTGGGCAACAGAGTGAGACTCCATCTCAAAAAAAGAAAAAAGAAAAATTAAACAGACATATATCTGATATGAACGTTCTTTATAAAATTAATAGTTCATTTACTGCCTAAAATCATCTCACACACTGCCAGGAAATCAGTGTCATGATTGACACTAATGAGTTGACTGGACAGTGGCGACCACCAGGACACACTCACCCGCGGGCTGGGCTTTAGGACCTGGCCCTGTATTCATGCATTCTGCAGGAGTGTTTCTTCTTTCCTTTGGCTGCATGGAACCCCCGGTCTACAGCCACACCCGCGGGTGTCACTTAATGCCATCATGGGGAGTTGGGTGCTTCCTTCTAGTGACTTGCCATCAGTCACAGTGGGAAGACAGAAGGCCACAGTGGCAGTCTTGACAAGCAGGACACTCATTCAGTGCCACCCACTGCAATTGTGTTGAGGACAGTTGTGAGATTAAGAGAATTCTATTTCATGAGCACTAAGCTCCAATTCCAGAGAGGCAACCATTGCTTATTCTGCTCCATTGTCTGACAAGGAGCAGAAGACGGAAGCCTCCAGATCTTCTGGGGACAGGCATGGAGCTCACACCCTGGAAGGGCAGGATGATCATGTGAAGAGAACCAGGAAGAAGGCGACCACTCACGGCCACAGAGAGAGTCCTGGGACAGATCCTGCCCTCACGGCCCTCAGAAGGAGATCGCCCTGCTGACACCTTGATTTCAGACCTCCAGCCTCCAACACTGCGAGAGAGTAGGTTTCCGCTGTGGAATTCCCCAGTCTGCAGCACGTGCTAGGGCAGCCACAGGAGATGGGCTCGGCCAGAACAGGGGAGGGAGAAGGGGAAGGCTGGGCCTTCTCGGGCAGCCAGGGCCTTCCTGGGAAGAAGGGAGATGGGGCAAAGGCTTGAGCCTCCACAGGCACCAGAGAAGCAGAGGCCTGGGGGCCAGGAGGAGGCTGCCCCTGCCACCAGAGCATGGTGGGGGCACGACATAGAGAAAAGGAACCAGGTGGGCAAAGGCTGGCCCCGAGCCAGCATCCATGCACGTCGCCCATGCCACCTCAGGAACCAAGGGGCCTGGCACCTCATTATTTAAAAGTTAAGCCTCACCTGGTTGTTGTGAATCTATAGATGTGATAAAATTTCACACAATTATTCACTGAAAAAAACAGCAAAAGTGCTTGTAAAACCTGGTAGAATTCACTAAGGCCTCTGGCTTAGTTAACATCACTGTACCGACGTCCACCTCCTGGTGCCAATCAGTGAACCGCGGAAAGGTGGATGCTGTCATTGAGGGAAGCTCTGCAACCCCCATGTGAGTCTAAAATTATTTCAAAAAAGTTTAGAAAGTGTAAACAATTGTGCTAAAAATAAAAACAAACAAACAAAGAAACCAAAAACAAGGTCTAACCTCTGTGGCTCTTCCTGGCACAGGGCTGCGGCTTCTCAGTCCTTTTCCCAGCCTTCCAGGGTCCCGCAAATCCATCCTGCTCTGGCCCACCTAGTAGGTGCTGTGGGGAATCCTCCAGAGCACAGGCAACAGGAGAGGTCTCGAGACCAACCAGGAGCCAGGAGAATGAACTGATCCTCTCCCCCACTTTGTGTTTCTTTGTGTTTTTGTGAATTTTGTCAAACAGAACTCAGGGAGAGAACAGGACTCGCCTCTCTCCCCGGGAGCCAGGAGCCAGAAATGCCTGCACGTGGCCCCATGCACGGCTGCACTCCGAGGGCCAAAGCCTCCATTCATGCGCAGGCTGCGGGGACAGCACAGCGCTTGCTCTCTGTGAAATGCCCGATTTCAGCCTGCAGCCATCACTAGCTTGCACAGCATCCCTGGCCTGCCTCAATGGCAACCCTTGTCCCTGAGAAGCACAAAGCCGCCTCTGCTTGGGAGCCAGGGCTGCAGCTGGGGGGCGTCTCCACCCCATGACTGGGCCCATTCTTCCCTAGCACACAGGCGACCCTGCCAGGGAACACGCATGGCTCGGAGCTCCCAAGTACTCTCTCCTGGCAAGTGAGGAGTGTAAATAAATCTTGGGAGGAGGACATGAGAGAGAAACACAGTCCCCGGAGGACAGTATTCTGGAGTGGCCACATGAGTTGGAAACTTCTACGCTGAAGCCTTAAGAGGTTGGTGAGTTTCCTGTCACTGAAGGCATTCGAGCAGGGACAAGAATTTTCCTGGGCAGGGATAGGCTAAGGAAGGGGCGGAAGGAAGCAAGCACGGCCTGGATAGGTGGATGGATGGAGAGAGAGATAGATACACAGATTGATAGATAATGGTAGATGATCGATTAGCAGATAGATGATAGATTATAGATATATTGAAAAATAGATGATAGATCTATTGATACATAAATAAAAATAGATAAATGATAGATTGATGGTTAGATGCTAGAATATAGATACATTTATAAATAGATGATAGATACATAAATAGAGATAAATGATAAATATATGGATGACAGACACATACATAGATACACAGAGGCTTCCTAAGCAGGAGGGCGTCACTGAGTCACAGATGCAGGTGGGCACCTGACCTAATCAGTGTTGTCCAGTCCCAGATATCTCTATCCAACCACACACGTCTCCCCATCGCCAGGTACAATTTCCACCTGGGGATCTGATAGGTCTCTCAAACAGAACCTGTCCAAAGCTGAACAGAGCATTGATTTGCCCAGCCCCCATCCTGCTCATCTCAATGGCTCCTCCCCATTGCTGCCAGAACCTCTCCATCCTTCCAGCTGCTCAGGCTGGAACCCTTCCAGTCATCCAGGACTCTTCTCTCTCATGCCAGCCACCTGATCCCTCTCACACCACACCTAGCTCTACCACCATCTTAAGTGGATTCTCCGAAAAGCAGAGCTGCAGGCAGGCTTAGGTGCAGGTAGCTTATTTGGGAGATGTCTCAGGAAGCAGAAGCAAGGGAGCAAGGAGAGTGAGGGAGGGAGGAGGGGCAAACCCACACACAGGTGCATTTCCCAGGTCACAGCTGTAGGCAGCAAGGCTGCATTCTGTGAAAGCTCCAAGAAGCACCCACCTAAAGGATGCATGCCCAGGATGTTTACTCCCATTCCGTCAGCTGAGGATTGTCCTTCAGCCATTAGATCCCCTAATGTTCTGGCTGCACTTTGATGCTTGGGAGAATATCCACAGCACCGGGCTAATGGCTGTGCTGTGCTGGAAAATGTTTGAGTGTTGTAAGGGAGCTGATATGTACATTTGCCAATTGCCATGGTGTAAATATTTCCCCCTGCGGCCAGCTTGCATTATTCATGAAAATGTAACCACCTGTTCCAACACAGCGCTCATCACCCAACATGCTGGTTGATTGAAGCCACAGCTGAAGACCAAGGCAGAGTTGGTCCAAGGAGCTGTGATGCAGGCACCAAAAACATCTACTGTGAACAAACTGCTCCAAACCACCAGCATCTCTGACTAAATGACCTTCGAATCCTCCCTTGCCCAGCACAATCTCATCTCACACTGCAGCCATTCAAATCTCCTTCAATGGGCAGCTCTGAAAATAAAGCCCAGGTCTTCCCCCAGGCCTTGGCACCTCCCCAGGATCCTCCCCTGGCCACCTCTTGGCATTGTGGGCATCAAAAACTTGCCCTTCTCCATCACTCACTCAGATTCCCTGGTCTCCTTGTTCCTCCCGCACCCAAGCACATGCCTGCTGCAGGGCCATTGCACCTGCTGTTCCTGCTGCCCTAGTGCTCTTCTCAAGGGTAGTCACATGACCAGCTCCCTCACTTTGCCTGGTCTCTGCACAGATGCCCTGCTCTGAGGTCCTCTCCGACCAACGATCACAGACAGTCGGGCTCTCCTCCCTGCCAGTCTCATTCCTCCAGCCTCACTTGATCATCATTCAAGGCATCTATAACCACCTAGAGTCCTATCACACATCTATTTCTATGCTGTCTGTTTCCCCTCATCCCACAAGACTACTCACTCCATGAAGGCAGAGACATCAGTCATCACCACAACCTGCCACGTATAGCTATATGCAAACTCCAAAACCAGTGACAGACTTAAAACAGGTGTCCAGTAAATATTTGTTGAATGGCTGGTGACCATGAATTCTGGACGGAGAGTTCAGATTGGTTTCATTTTTAAATTCCCTGCAGAGTATTGCAAATAATATGTCTGGCTCTCAACTCCTGGGTCAGATGCCCTCTACAGTTTGGTCCAGCCCTGGTACCCCAAGGTGGGTTGGCCTCTCCCCAGCACAATGGAAGCACTGAGATTTCTTGCAGCACAGGAATCTCCACACCCCTCACCACAAACCCTGAGGTATGCGGTCACAGATATAAGTGGTGAACCCTCCAAATGCCTCCCAGACCCAGAAACAGCCAGAAACAAACAGAGAAGTCTCATCTCAAAGTCAGTCCCTGCCCAGGAGCTCTCAGCCAAGAACCCCAGTGTAACAAGGGTGAGAAACAGCCCCAGGCTGTCACACAAGACAGAGACAGTGCATGCAGAGGAAAAGCCTGCGTGCATCCATGGTGAGGATGTGCCCACTCTGACATTGGGGTGAGAGGAGGAAAACTGGGCTCAGAGGGGGAAAGTTGGGCTCAGATGGGCAACGGGAGTTGGGCAAGTTCCTAAGCAAGAGAAGAAGCCAAAGGCGGCCAGGGAGACATCAACGCGTTCCTCCCGCACAGCCATGACATCCTACAAATGATCTCTCTTAATTTTAACATCAGCTTTGGGAGAGGGCCATGAATAGATTTCTAAATATATTCCAGAGCAGAATTAAGTGGGATCTTCCAGTTTCTGAAAGTGACTCGTGGAGAGTGCATCAGATGGGATGAGAACATGACATCAGCCACAAAGGCAGCCATACTGGGCAGCTGCCTGCCAGGCAAGCCCTGTGCCCGCAGAGACCATTCTCAACCACTCCTCCCAACCACACCAGCTCCACGCACCTTCTCTAACAGGAATGGGGCTTGCCTCAGGGTCAACTGAGGCCTCTAGCTATCAGATTCCAGAGATCTCTGCAGACCCTGGCTCTCGGCAGAATTTACAAAGAAAACAAATGAGAATCTATTCCATGACTCAAGATGCCCTGCAAGCAGATGATGAATGTAAAAAGAAGTTCTGGATTGAAGGACATTCTACAGAACACCCTACAGGTGCTCCTCAAAACCGCTAAGGTCACCAAGAACAAGCAAAGTCAGAAAAGGTGTCACAGCAAGAGAACCCGAAGGTGCATGATGGCCAGATGTCATGTGGGATCTGGATGGGATCCTGAGATGGAAAAAGGGCATTAGAAAAATACCAAGGATGTTGGAATAAAGTATGAACTTGAGTTAATAATAATGTTTCAAGAGTGGTTCATTAGTGATACAAATCTACTATAAGAATGAAAGGGAACCAGGGTGTGGGGCTTACGTAAAGTCTTTGTACTAGCTTCACAATTTTTCTATAAAATTTAAATTACTCTAACATTAAAAGTTTTTTTTTTAAATCTTCTTTGTATCAGACTGAGTTAGGGGGCTCCAGCAGGTCAGCTCCAGCCCCTGGAATATGTTCCTTGGGTAGGCCCACAGAATGGCACTCGAGGTGCCAGAGACCACTCGGATAGGGACTGAGGCGGCTGTGCTGGACCAGCCTGCACACCCGGCTGCCAGGAGGTGCCTCCCACAGGCTACACAGGAGCAGTGTGGGAGGGAGACCAGGCCGGAGACATTTCTAGTCTCCAGAGCAGGGTGTCCTCAGATCAGCAGCATCAGCGGCACCTGAGATCTTGCTAGAAATGTATGTTCATGCTGGCTTCATGGCAGATGCGTCAAGTCAGGAACTCTGGGAAGGGACCCAGCATGCCGCGTAGACAAGACCCCAGGCGAGTCTCATATACCCTAAAGCTTGAGACCCCCGCTCTAGAAGATCACCCAGGAGGACAGAGACCCCAACAGGGAGCAGATGTGGAGCAGTCCGCCAGTGCATCAGGGGCTGTGGGATGCAGCCATGTAGGAGTTGTGCATGCTGTACTTGGCTTGAAAGATGACCTGGGATCAAAATATTCAGACACCCATGAGAGCACCAAAAGAGAGGCAATTTTCACCAACTTCCAGGCCCACATCAAAGAAAGCCACCCTCTAGAGACACTGCCCCAACCATTTCCCACTCTTTTTTTTTTTTTTTTTTGAGATGGAGTCTCACTCTGTCGCCCAGGCTGGAGGGCAATGGCCGGATCTCAGCTCACTGCAAGCTCTGCCTCCCGAGTTTACGCCATTCTCCTGCCTCAGCCTCCCGAGTAGCTGGGACTACCGGCACCCGCCACCACGCCCGGCTAGTTTTTTGTATTTTTTTAGTAGAGACGGGGTTTCACCGTGTTAGCCAGGATGGTCTCGATCTCCTGACCTCGTGATCCGCCCGTCTCGGCCTCCCAAAGTGCTGGGATTACAGGCTTGAGCCACAGCGCCCGGCCCCATTTCCCACTCTTATGTCCCCACCCTCCAAATCGAGAGACGACACACCAGCAGCTCCCATCCACTTTCCACCGCTTCTCCTGCCAGTGGGTCCAGTTTCCCTCTTGGGAAACCAAAACAGGACACCCCCTCTACACAATACCCAGGGGTGCCAAAGCAGAAGTGGGGTGACCTTTCTGAGTCCCAGATCAGCGGGTCACCCTCTGCTCCATCAGTGTCAGCAGCTCTCCATCCCTCCACAGGATACAGACAAAACCCCTCAACCTGGTCTTTCCTGTCCTGCGTGGCAGACCCGAGCCACCTCCCCATTCCCACGCACCAGCTGTTCAACCCATGCTCACACGGTGCCCTTCCCACCACAGGGCCACCACATCCACTATTCCTCTGCCAGG